CACTACCAGCCTCATCATCACACAAACGCTCAACAGCAGTTCGAGGTCACAGCTACTAAAAATCCTATGAACCTGAATGCTGATCCAGTCTTCGTTGAGAGCCAGGAATCTTCTTGCTCCCCAGTCGCGTTGAAAGCGAATTGCGGAAAGTGTTTAGACTTCTGCTGTCCGATCTGCTGTGGCCTGTTACACAAACATGATCTGACTCGTCCTGACTCCTCTGAATCTGATTCTGAGGCTAGTTTCTATGGCAAAGAATGCGCAGAAGATGATAGTAGACATGATGAAAATGGCGGTGATGGTTGGAGCGTTCTTGGCGAGGATAATAACCTCAAAGCGATCCCACTTCCCAAAAAAGATGGCGAAGATAGCACAAATTCAACAACAGTAGCTCATTCTTCCAAGACTGGAGGCCTAATTAATCAGATTGCTGATCGAGTGCGAAGCTCGGGTTACGAGTTCTCTGGATATTCGTTACAAGTGAGTTTAATGTATCAGATTCTTGCCTATTTGTGCTTCTTTCGTGTATACAAGTAGAATACTTTAATCGAAGGTAAAAATACTAATATGGTGTGGCCTTTTGTATGGTCGCAGTCTCCTTTCGTCGTATATAAGTTGTTTGACCTTGTTTGCGAAACTTGGTCATATTGGTAGGAAGACCTAGGAACGCATCTAGTCCGAAGTCCATAGTATGCATGATAATTTCCATAGTCGGATCGTGGACGTGGTACATTCCTAGACGTGAGCCTTGCCACTCTTAATAGCACACCACAACTCGTCAAAGAGACAAGTGAAACAGATCCTTTGACCAATTTTCTGCTGAACAATTGTGGTATCTCTCCTACCCTGGGCTATTCACTAATCCTATATCCTCGTATCACCCCTTCATTATCACAATTTCTTAATTACTTATTTAGATGTGGCGTGGTGTGCCCTTTTTAGCTGATTTAATGAGAACTCTCCAAACTCCACACTCGCTTTCTCATCCTATTACTCCGCAATCCTCTTCCCATAGGTCTTATCAGAGTCTCCCTCTTGCCCCATTAGATCCGCCTCCTAACTTCATGGTTCAGGTATTTCACTCGACCCCTGCCACCCCATCTGTACTACTCGAAGCGTTTTTTCTTACAGGATCTCAAGCTTTTGATGTCACGCCTACTCTCACCTCGCTGAGTAGGCCCTTAAAAATCGGGATTATCAAGCTAGATGGGAGACTGACTTGAGGCTGAAGATCCCGCGTATTTCTCATGGTCAAGCCTTTGCTTCATGGGCTACGTCTTCGATCAAACACGTCTACTGTTAGCCAACTAGTTCTAGTCTCCGCCGCATCTATCGTGCTTCTATCCATAGTGCCAACTTGTATAAAATACTTTAACTTGTGTCAGACTCGATGATACGGAAAGTCATGTTGTTGCCTTCATAGCCATTAAAAAACCTGCGACTCGTTATAAACGCGCGCATTCTCCTGCCTATATGGCATCATTAATCCTTTCTTTGCCCAAACTTATGCTAAGGTATTTGCTAGAAAGTCTTCTTTGTTAATGCTTGCAGGATAATAGTGCTAGCAACTTGATGCATAGTTTATCTGATCCGCCGATTCCTCTCGAACATGGGCAGTACCGTACATATGTTATCCTTCCATCGATTTTTATAGCTTCTCTTTTTATATTTTTGTTCTGTTTGGCTACTTAGGTGATTGCCCCTGCTTGCACACCCATTCGGGAGCACGCCGTCTGGATAGCTTTGTTGCACCACCTTGTCAAACATATTTCTGACTGGGCTCCAGCTGTCATAACGCCCCAATCTGAGAGACCAGCTATAGCGACAACATCAAGCGTTCCAATAAACTTGGCGTCTGATGCGCCGCCATCAGGATTGATGCAACCTGAGCATTGTGCAGAAGCAATGGTATCTTCTTGGCGTTTAGCCTCATTTCCTGTTAAGGCAATCTGGAAGTGGCTTGTACGAAATCAACTAAATAAGGCGCTTAAGGTATTATCATTAAATAAATACATTGATAAATCCTTCATTTAGTAACCAGAAAAACCGGACAACCAATCACTCATTTTTCACCTATCTGCATTTCTACTTGTTTACCTCTGTCTTAATCCATTCATCCATATATATCTTTCCTCTTGTCTTTTGCTGCTTCAGCCGATCTTACTAAATGATTCCACTTTCATTGTGGTAATTCTTTGAGGGTTTGCCTACATTTTGCATGGTCTTAAAATAGGCAATCAGCAAGGCGTTTCTCACAATTTTTAAATTTAATTACTTGAATAAACTTACTTTTTTCATATATTTATAACGAAAAATTAACTGGGAAGCACAATTATCTAATTGACTAATTCGGTCCTCGACAGGAGTGTCGTTTTCTCCATCTTTATATAATATTTTACTAATAATAGTAGATTTCTGTACTATCTGACCGACAGTCACCCTAGATCATAAAGGGTTGATATTTGAATTTTTATACCATTACATGAATGGGCCTCGCAATGCTATTAAATTTTACTTAAAGCTATTCTCTTTCAAAGTTGACTTAGACATTGACCTCTTCTTGGTATAATCCGCACCCCGAATCGTGTTTACCGTGTTTATTTCGATGTAATGTGGTGTGCTACGTTAGCATCGCGAGGCCTACTCGTGTAAATGTTGGAAAATTTAATTATCTACTCTTCATTACCTTAAGCAGCCTAAGATGACTGCAGCCATAATGTAGTATTTTCATTTCCTTATTTCCGAAAGCCTATCTATTTTTGACTAAGAATCATACCTACTTAATGCCAAGGCATAATGAAATCGTGAAACCAGCTCATGCCTTTGTGGGAAAAATCCCATTATTAATATTTAAAGCCCTTTACGCTATATCAGGTGACTAAATTCTTATTCAGGATCATCCTGTTTTTTCGAACCAAACTTGCACCGAAAATAGTTATTTTTAGTCTAAACTATGTCCATGAAATATTAATAAATCGGAACTCGAACTACTTGAGTCTTTAATTTTATTAATCGAAGGTATGAAGACCAAGATAATGTGGCCATTTGTGTGGTCGTAGTCTCCTTTCATTGTATATAGGTTCTTCGACCTCGTTTTTGCAACTTGGTCATATTGGTAGGAAGACTTAGAGGAACGCACCTAGTCCGGAGTCCATTGTATGCTGTTTTCGAAACTGGTCATATTGGTAGAAAGACTTATTGGAACGCACCTAGTCCGGGGTCCATTGTCTGCAGCATCGTTTCCAGAGTAGGACCGTGGACGTGGTACATTCCCAGACGTTTCGCCGGCATCGCCAGTATCGCCACGATCAGAAGTTGTTTGACCTTGTTTTCGCAACTCAGTCATATTGGTAGGAAGACTGATAGAAACGCACCTTGTCCTGAGTCCATTGTCTGCATAATTAGAAACTCGGTCATATTGGTAGGAAGACTTAAAGAAACGCACCTAGTCCGGAGTCCATTGTATGCATCATCGTTCAAAGTCGGACCGTGGGCGTGGTACATTTCAAGACGTTTCGCCGGGATCGTAGTAGGCATCGTCAGTGAGTCTAGTCATACTTAATACCACACAACAACTTGTCAAAGAGACAAGCGAAGCCGATCCTTTGACCAAATGTGTGCTAAACAGTTGTGGTATCTCCCATTCTGCCCTGGGCTATTCACATTTCCTATATCCTCCTATCA